ACACCAATGTGTTATGATGAGATGGGTTCCCGCACCATCGTGTTGCGAGGAAATGGGGTTGTCTCACCCAACAGTGTTATGAGGAAATTATGGTTTGTTTTATATGAAGCATTGAGTTCATGTTTTATGATATAAATGGGTATTTGGTGGTTTGATGTGGCAAAAGAGGATTATTTTGTCAACACATTATATATTTATTTATTACAAATATGAGTTTTATAAAGGGGTTCTAGTGGGGCTCTGGTTGGTAAGATCAGAAGGCCTATGGTTGACCCTTGCTTTTAGGGATGGGAATGGACCCCGACCCGTCGGGTAACCCGGTCCACCCGCCCCGGTCGGGGACGGGGATTCCCCGAAAAATCGGGTCCCGGGGACGGGGACGGGGATCCCCGCTTAGCTCAAGCCGGGGACGGGGCCGGGGACGGGTACAGCACTCCCCGCCCCGCCCCGCCCCGCCCCGCCCCGTTTTTTATATATGTATTGCGGGCTTTGGGCTTGGGCCTGTTAATTGTATTAGTCTAAAGAATGTGTCCATCCCTATCATCATTCTCATTCATCGTCTCCTTCAAACCCAGCAACCAGGACCAACCTAGAATCCCTCTTCAGTCCTCAATACGATACGACTCCCTCTCCCTACCCTAATCGGCGATAGCGACAACGACGACGACAGCTACGGTGGCAGCGGCAGCGACAGCGACGGTCTCCTGCTCTCCCTCTCCCTACACGTTCACTTCACTGGTTTGTATTTCTCCCTTGATTTGTGAACTAAGATTGTCTTCTTCAGTCTTCTTCTTTACTTCTCCCTTGATTTGTATTTCCAAATTGATAAAATTGCTATAAAATTGTTTTCAATAGGCTTCAATAATGATGATTGGCTCTCACTCTCGCTCTCTGCCTCTCTCGACCATCGACGGCCGTCTGCGACTGCCTCTGTCGTCGCCGGTCGCTCTCGCTCTCTGCCTCCCGGCTCCCACTCTCGCTCTCCGGCCACTCGCCCGTTGCCCCCTCTCTTTGTGACTACTGACTTGTGTTGAGGTTAGGGATTTAACTTAGGGTTATTATATTACTTATTTTATTTTTTATGTTTCTAATTTTGTTTGATTGGAAAACCTAGTTGTGAAATTGGTGGCTTGTTGTGTTCGACTATTTTACTTTGTTTGACTCATTGATTGTTTTTGTTTCACTTGTTACAAACCATTTGTTAATGTTTTACAGATGCTTATGTTTAGCACTTTAACTTAGGGCTGTTTTAATGTTCCTGTGTGCATTCTTTCATAGTTCCTGTAGGACTTCTTATCACAGTTTTTATCACAACCGGATGAGTACTTAAAAGTTAAAAACATACCCAGCAGGACTTCTTATCACAGTTCCTTTTTGCATTCTTTCTATTCTTTCAAGTTTTATGTCTGGAGTCAGCAAATACGTTTTATTTCTACCTAACAGAAACACTACCTGGAATCAATCATTCCTGCCCATATGGTAGCTCTTAGAATCCCAGGAGTTATAGCAACCAATCCTCTTTTCAAATTGGAGACTTTATCTTCATATGGTGCAAGCTTAGTGTAAATCTGATACATATCTTGCAAACGTAGATTTGGTGACTTCTCTTGTAAAAGAAGTTAGATGGAGATTAAATGTTGTATTCCAATTTCATATTTATCAACCATGGGGTTGTTTACTTGTTTTTTGTTTTATGTATGTTGAGACTTGAGAGGATCCCCGTTTCCCCGTTGGGGATCCYCGTTCCCCGTTGGGGACGGGGATGGGGATGTGATCATAATCCCCGGCGGGGACGGGGACGGGGATGGGGACACATACGGGGGATCGGGGACGGGGACGGGAATTGGGGTCCCCGCCCCATTCCCGCCCCATTACCATCCGTACTTGCTTTTGGTTGGCCTTGTTGGCCATATTTTTGGTTGGTCATGCTCTGGTTGGTAAGACCAGAGGGGATCTGGTCTTAAGGACCAGAGGAGAGCTGGTTGGTCTTGCTATACATGATGCAAGTTTTACCCATGAAGTATTTTTCAAGATATTGGGTGTTTGAATAACTCTGAAGAATGACTCTTCAGACTTAAAACTCTGAAGAATGACTCTTCAGACTTGTAATTCTGAAATATTTTTCACCTAAACTTTGAAGTCTTCATTTTCAGATATATGAAGATAAGCCTACAGACTTCCAGACTTTTATACTTGGCCCAAATTGCTTAAATAAAACTTTCATGATATTTAGGACAATTTTGGTCCTAACAATTAGTATTACAAATACAGGTTTATAACTTGATTTGGTGATTTCACCCTGTAATTGCATAAAATGGATTTCTCACTAGACCTTAAGGTCTAACCCTCATTTTGATGTTTTAAAATGTGCATTACATGTCAGACAACCAGTTGATAAAGGGACAAAGAAATTTATGAAGAAATATATGAGTGTCTGCATATGGATTTTGGGATAATGTGTTGTTACTTGTATCTGCATGTTATTTATGAGTACAAGTTTTGTATAGAGATTTTGTGAAAAAAGTTAATAGCTACTTTTCATAATGTAGTTTTTGTATATATATATTTGTAACTGAATGTGTATTTGTATTTCTTGATATATGAGATACATGATTATATGCAAATGTGGACCCTGAGGTGTTACATCAATCTATTTTGGTGGCCGATAATATAACCGATAGAGTGAGGATGGTGACATTGAATCTTTTTCACGACTCGATAGATAATTTGATAAACCAATGATTTTTGGTTGGACCAACCGACGAAATCATTCTTCCTGAATTGGAAGAGCCCTTCCTTCTTCACCTTGAAAGACATCTCAGGAAAAAGCTACTATTTTAGATCATATCCAAGTGAAAGGTTATCCCAAATGGATGATGAATTGCAGGAAGGTCAGCCCAGGAGTCAATAAGAAATTGGGTGATGGGCGAACTACATCTGGGACAACAAAACATCTATCTCGTTCGTTTTTGGGTCCCCGTATAACCATGGACTGAGTGGTCGTTCCTTATCCAAATTTTGTTAATAAGGTAAGCGCTTACCTGGTAAATGACCCCTTAGTAAATAATCATTATTCAATTGTCATTTACAACAACTTATATCATATACTGACTCTTATTCCAGTTATACTTTCTATCATCTATCTTGACTACTTGTACATGAATACCATCTACGATCTCATAAAAAAAGGGATGTTGTAGGGTATTGGGCTTCATTCCACAAATCAACAGCAAGTTCTTTATTTTTTATTGAATTTGAAATCTAAGTAATTATTTCCTAAAATAGAAATCCATTGGAACCTATCAACCGTCAAGGACCTAGCAAGAAGTCTTGACGCCTTTCTCCAAATCTTCGATTTGATGCCGTGTCTTATGAGAACACCCTTCGATAAACGTATTCGATTGCACAATCCTGTACATATCAAACCAAATCAACCAAATCCCAAATGAAGATGAAAAAAGGAAGCAACAATAATTATCGACTTTGCTTTTTTTTTTTTTTAATGTTGTACTAACACTATGATTTGAGATATGAAACACAAAGGTATTAACAAATAACAAGTACAAATTATGTAAAACAACAAACCCTTTTTGTGATTGTAATTTGAAAGTGTTGAAGGAACTTTTTGGAGATCGATTCCTATAAACGAGTGTCAGGCATTTGGATGGGACGAGAAACTATTCAATATCTTATCAACATTGTTATCCAACTTGTTAGATTCAGAACGAGATTTAGGGATTGTTTTACAAATGCTGACCGGCTAAACGCTTACAACGTAAAAGTCAACATCCACACTTACCTTACTGAGAATCCTACTCAATAAATAAGGATAATGACTTACCTAGTTAACACTTACCAGATAAAAGACACTTACCAATTATCTTACAATGTCATTTTGATTTCTAATAAGAATATTACCAGAAAAGATAAATGAAGATGATAACTTTTACCTTATAAACATTTACCGATTAAAAGTTGATAAATGCAATGAATTATGATTACTATTTACATAAAACGATTGAAAAAGAAGTATGTTTTAATTAACTACAAGGGTACTCGTGTAATACACCGAGACACATCTTGATTTTAGTGCTTCGTTTTTTTATGTCGATATAATACGGTTTTATGTGGTTTTGTGAAAAACGCTAATATTTTTATTTTTGAATAAAATATAAATTTGAAAATATCATAGAATTTTGGAAAAAAAATATCAGTATCAAATTAATCTTTTTAAAAGTTCTTGTATTTTGATGTAATTTCCTTAATTCAAAATTTTAATTATAATTTAATTTAGATTTACTAACAAAGGAGTTTAATTTTGATTTAATAATATATAATTTTTTATAAGGATAATAATTAAGTATTCTGTTATAATTCACTGATTATCGTAATTATATTTTAGATTTTTTATATTTAAAATGAAATGTTTATCTTGTATTTAACTATGATTATCTGCAGTTAGTTACACGAATTCAAAGATGAACCTTTAATAAGTTGTACTTACGCACAGTTTGTTTGTAACATTGAATTTTAAGTAATATGCATCAATACAGTATTTCAAGCATAAAAAATGGTTTTCAAGAGTTTTTGTCAAATGCTTTATAATATAGTATATTTAAAAAATATTTAACTAAAGCACAAAAGTGGTGCCTGATTGATTTGAGTTTGGCTCCAAAGATCAAAAGTACTAGGAGATCCCAGGTTCAAATCCAAGAAGAAATAAAAATCTTTTTGTGGCCACGGCTCATGGAGGTTCAAATGTGGTGACTCCGGACTATCTGCAAAACAAGTGGTCGTCATGAGATTAGTCGGCTCGCATAGCAGATTGGATATCCAAGTTAATAAAAAAAAATATTTAACTAATAATGAAAATAAGTGATGGGTTCACGGATCCCCCGAGGGTGTAAATCGGGTCGCACAAATCCGAATCTGGAGTTGAGTCTTTTGGGAACCAAAACCAACAGCCAACTGCAATCATATCGTATCATACGAGGGAATATATATCTTCTTTTCTTCATTTTTTCTTTTAATTTATATTTCTGATTCTCTAAATCTTGGAAGATCAGAAGCTCCATTCCTGATCTCACAACTTGAATAACAATGGCGACAAGATACTGGATAGTTTCTCTTCCCGTTCAGACCTCTGCCACTTCTCTATGGAGTCGCTTACAAGAATCCATCTCCAAAAATTCGTTTGACACTCCTCTCTACAGGGTATAACAATCACCACAATCGCACAAAAAGATCTGTTATTTGCCATAGCTCGTACTAATTCAATAACTTTGCAGTTCAATATCCCAAATCTTCGCGTTGGTACACTCGATTCGCTTTTAGCCCTCAGCGATGACCTACTCAAGGTTAATTATCCTTTCCTCATTTTGTCATCTTCATTTGGGGATTGGTTGATTTGATTTGATATGTGTGGTATTCTGTAGTCGAATACGTTTATTGAAGGATGTTCTCATAAGATACGGCGTCAGATCGAGGATTTGGAGAAGGTGTCGGGAATTCTAGCTAGTTCCTTGACGGTTGATGGGGTTCCGGTGGATTCATATCTCACAAAGTAATTACCTGTACGCGTATTCTGAATTCGATTAATGATTATCCTTGATCTGTTGAATTTGTGATTTATAGATTCGTGTGGGATGAGGCGAAGTATCCAACAATGTCTCCTCTTAAGGAGATTGTGGATGGTATTCATGCGCAAGTAGCCAGGATTGAGGATGATCTTAAGGTATTCAATTGCCCTGTTTCTTGTAATTCTCTTCTTCTCCCATGTAGATAATGTGGTTATTAGAGTCTTAATTTAACCAGTTCCTGTGGAATTTACCAATTCATTAAAATACAAAATTGAATATTTTTTAGTAAGTTTCATACCCTAGAATCACTTGTTAAAATAAGCTGAAACTTGATCCTTGGGTGGAAAAATATACGTGCAAGTTTCATACCCCATATATGATATCTTATATTAGTACACGTCTCGAGCATTCTCATAATGTCAGTACTTTTTTCCTTGTAGTAAGCTAAACTCTTAAAAAGTTTAAAACATACCTGACCTCTAATGAAGACATGGAAGGTTGCTAGATTTATTCAACTAAGAACAATGAGTAGTTGTTTGAACAAAAAGAAAAGATAATGGAAGATAAAAGGGGAAACCGGAAGACAAATGTAAAAAGGGAGTTTATTAGGCATATTCATGATGCAAACGAACTATGGTTATGGCAACTTGACATCAGACAGGAAGATGATCAACAACAGCCAGCTACAAGGTCCTTGTTGCAATTAGGCTAGTTTGGTTCTATTTTCTATATTCATCTGCTTGCAAAACTATTTTTCTAATTTCTGAAATGGGATAGATGAGATAGTGTGAACACTTCCAAGAAAGAAAGATATGATGTTAAAGAAGAGTGGCAGGAAAGAGGTTAAGCGACTATTGTGGATTTTAAGTTCGTAACCAAATTAATAGCAATACAATATACCTAACTTAAGAAAGAAAAAGCAATGGATTAGATTATTGGTGGAAGCTTAGATACTATGATATTGCAATTGATGTACAGTGATCACTAGAAATATAGTGTGCAATTAACTTTAATTATAGAAATAAGTGCTGGTTGAGTTAGTTTGTACAATTAAAGCTGAATTGATATTTTTGGATACATTAGTAAAGCAACTTACATAACTTTCATCTGGTTATGGGTTTGCAATAATAGATGATACGAACCAGTATGACACCAGACTCGTAATTGGATTTGACAATCTGAACCTCTTCTGATACTAAAGGTTCACTTGGTAACATTACTCCAGCATTTGAACGACTGTTTGTTATATTGGGTTGTGATCTAAGTAGATTAGATCTTGAAATCTCTATGAAGATAGTACAACTTTCTCTGTCCCATGAAACTTGCAACTTTTGACAAACATATATCTCTGAAATTACTTGATTATTGGTCAAAGGCCTTCAGTCTCCACCAATAAAGACAAATTAGGTGCAATCCTTGTCGACCATAATCAGTAGAATCAATAAGTTGTAACGGTGACAACAGGCAAATTGGTAATTATATCTTTGAAATTCTCCAAGATAGAAATATAACAATTTTCATTAGACATCCCAAACTGAAAGGTGATGCAGCATTCTTCAGACGGAGGCAGTACAATTTAATTCCACTTGACTTATTCCCAACCTAAAGTAGGATCCCATGCCAAAAGCACAACTTGTAATTTTCATAAGCCACACAGTTCATAAGCATGAGCCACATAAAAGCACAAGCAAGCAGTAGCATATGGATCTAGCCTATTTGCATACCCGTTTCTCACATTAAGGTATTACATTTTTTCTTGCAATTGTTTTACCTTTTGTGTTGTGATAATAGGGTTTCAAGTGGGTCCACTTAACTACACTGAAGTTTTTTGAGTGCATCTTAATTTCTATTCCAGGACCAAATGTTTTCTTCAGCCTAAATTAAAACTTGTGGCATCCTTCATGGAGAAAAAAATTGAGTTTTAGTGGTGTTGGGGAGGTTGGGGGAACATGGGCTTCGGACCAGTTCTCATTTTGGTTCTTTATTGCACCAGTGCACCTATGTGACGCTTTCCATATTTTGTATTTTGCTTTGGCTTATCTTTTTTATTTGTATGCTAGACCTTGCTTTAGCAGAATAATCAGTTACATTTCCAGGTACTTCTGCCAACAGATCTGAATTTCATCTACTTGATTAAGAATTTGCAGATCATCTATGTTATCAGATGCTTTTGTTGAGATCTATCTACTAACATGTGTTGGAAACTCTCCCGAGCCTTTATGTTGCTTCCTGTTTTGCACTATCACAGGTTCGCATTGCGGAGTATAACAATGTTCGCAGTCAACTCAATGCAATTAACCGAAAGCAAACGGGAAGGTAAACTATATGCTAATGCCCTCTGATACCAGTGAATGATAGGGGGTCAATAATATGTGGTCGAAGGGATGACTGATGAGCATTGTTGCCAATCTTTGGTATTGGGCTTAATCCTCTTATCATCGGCTGGACCCTTGAACTTGTTTACCCTGATTATTTTTTTTTATCCTATTTCTCGAAGTTATCTTGCTGTGAGACTTGGAGATGGGAATATACTCATAATTCTATACCATGCTTGACTGAATTAATTTTCCAGCTTAGCTGTTCGTGATTTGTCCAATTTAGTAAAGCCAGAGGATATCATCACTTCAGAACATTTGGTTACGCTTATTGCTGTTGTTCCCAAGTACTCCCAGAAGGATTGGTTGTCATGTTACGAGACACTGACGACTTATGTGGTAAGACCACCATCATTCTATAGTGTTGTCACTGTGATTTTTGCTGTTGATGGGGTCCAACTCTGATGTGGACAACCCGAGTTTCTTAATATTCAGAATCTAGACCATTCACATTCATTAGGAGCAATTTGTTAACATAATCTCATTTGGAATGTCAGCAAAGCATATGAGACCAGAGATCATAATTTACATGTGTATGAAATAAACTTATTGTATGAAAACAGGCACCTTACACTTCTGTCTACAAGATGCAGTACGCATACAAGTTTTTCTTTCTCTAAATTCTACCTTTTGATTGAACTAATTGTACTAGGTCCCCAGATCCTCCAAGAATTTACATGAGGACAATGAGTATGCTATTTATACTGTTACATTATTCAACCGTGATGCTGACAATTTTCGAACTAAGGCACGCGAAAGAGGATTTCAAGTAAGTTTGTAAATAGCTTGTTTGTCAGTCACTAAAGTGACTCTGATTCAAGGATCTCATATAAGCTGCAGAGTTCTTGAATAAGATATTGCTGCATACTTTTACTAATACTAGGAGCATATCTGCACAATGCAGTGAGATACATCTTGATTTTAATGTTTTGTTTTATAATAGGGTTTCKCATGGTTTTGAGAAAACGATGATCTTTTTATATTTGGATGAAATATATATTTCTATCGATATCAATATCAAATTAACAATTTAAAAATTCTCATTTTTTGTATAACTTTTTTAGTTCAATTTTTTAGTATTATTTAATTTAGGTTTAGTAACGAAGTAATTTACTTTAGATATAATAATATAANTTTTTATAAAGATAATTTTTAGTTCAATCTTTTTATTATAATTTAGTTTAGGTTTAATAATGCATTAATTCATTTTAGGTTTAATAATATAATTTTTTTATAAAGATAATGATTAAGTATTATGTTAGAACTTAATGATTATCCTAATTATATTCTAGAATTCTATTTATTTGCTGTTAGTTACACGAATTCAAACATGGAGCTTTAATAAGTTATACTTACACACAATCTATTTGTATCTTGAATTTCAAGTAATATGTATCAATAAACAATATTTTATTGGTTTTTAATTTTTTTGTCAATTGCTTTATAATATAGTATAGATAACAATAACAATCAAACATTATAACATCTAATATCTGTTAAGGTTGCCTGATGTTTTTCTTTTCAATTTACTTGTGATTTAGATTCGTGATTTCGAATATAACTCGGAAACTCAAGAGAGTCGGAAACAGGAGCTTGAAAAACTGATGCAAGACCAAGAATCCCTGAGAAGCTCTCTTTTGCAATGGTGTTATACTAGTTATGGAGAGGTACTTTCATATCACTTAAATTACATGTGCAATTTGTATGTTTAAATTACACCCAAATAATGCTTGCTCATGATTATGGGTTACCAAATATCATAAAATTTTGTTAATGTATTCTAGATCGACTAGTAACTTTTTTCGTAGAAAGAAGGCAAGAGGAAGGAGGTATTTGAACCCATGACGTCTAAAGAATGACCACCTAGAAGATGCACCCAAATACCGTGAAGTTAAATGCTTAATGGGCATGGCAATGAGAGAACCCAAAAAGAGGTGAACAAGGGAACCCTATTGTAGAATTCTTTGTTTATTTCACTTGTGTCAAAAGAGGGAGGTACAAAGGCTATATATACACAAAGAATATGAGAAGAAAAGGAAAGGATTCCTAGGATATTCACAATAACAAATTACAAGGAGATATTACCTATAATCTCCAATTCCTATTTTACAATGATATCGAGCATCTTCAAGGATATTGAGTATCTTAACACTCCCCCTCAAGCTGGAGTATAGATGTTAATCATGCCCAACTTGTTACAAATAAAAGAGATTCTCGAACCAGATAATGCTTTGGTAAAGACATCAACAAGTTGTCTTCCTGTTTGAACAAAGGGAGTTGAGATGATTCCATCTTCTAGCTTTTCACGAGTGAAATGGCAATCAACCTCGATATGTTTTGTTCTTTCATGAAACACGGGATTGTTTGCAATGTGGATAGCCGCCTCGTTATCACAATATAGGTTCATTGGTTTAGATTGAGCAAACCCAGTTTCACCTAGAAGATTATGCAACCATATCAGCTCGCAAGTGGTTTGGGCCATAGCTGTTTTCAGATTCAACTTGGGAAATGACATTCTGTTTCTTGCTTTTCCATGAAACTAGATTCCCTCCAACCAACACACAATAACCTGTCGTAGACCACCTAGTAGTAGGATCCCCGTTATAGTCGGCATTTGTGAACCCTTCCATGATATGATGACCTTGATTTTGATAAAGGATACCAAGACCAGGAGCACGTTTTAGGTACTTCAATATATGCCTAACAGCGTCCCAATGTGGAGTTCTCGAAGATGACATAAACTGACTTACTACACTCAGTGGAAAATCGATGTCAGGACGTGTAATCGTCAGGTAGTTTAGCTTTCCCACGATTCTTCTGTACTTTTCTGGATCCTCAAGTAGATCTCCATCGTCCGCTTTCAATTTCATATTTGGAATCATTGGGGCCTCACAAGGTTTTGTTTCAATCATGCCAAAGTCATTCAATATATCCAAACAATATTTATGTTGAGAGAAACATATCCCTTTCCGAGTACGAGATACTTCAATTCACAAGAAGTATTTTAAAGGACCTAGGTCCTTTGTTTGAAACTGAGATGCAAGGAAATTTTTTTGGCTTCATGATCCCAGTCTCATCACTCCCAGTAATCACAATGTCATCAACGTATACCACTAGTAGAATGCATCCGGAAGATGACGAAGTAAAGAACACATAATGATCATAATAGCTACTCTGTAAGCCAAACTCAGTCACTACACTATAGTATTAAACCGTTCAAACCAAGCACGAGGGGTTTGCTTTAAACCATACAATGATTTACGTAGTTTACAGACTCTACCAGACTCCCCCTTAGCAACAAACCAGGTGGTTGCTTTATATAGACTTCATCATGTAAATCATCATGCAAGAAGGCATTTTTCACATCGAGATGGTGTAGTACCCAGTCGTAAGTAGCGGCTAATGAAACAAACAGACGGAAATGTCTCGTGGTAGTCGACCCCATAAGTCTGAGCATATCCTTTGGCTACCAATCGGGCTTTCAGATGAGCCATAGATCCATCTGGATTAACTTTCACAGTAAATACCCATTTATAGCCAATTGCCTTTCTGCGTGCATGTAACTCTACCAAATCCTATGTATCAGTATGATCGAGAGCATTCATCTCATCAATCATAGCATCCCGCCATCCAAAATGGGCCAAACTTCACCAACCGTTTTAGGAACAAATAAAGAATCAAGTGTAGAGATCAAAGAACGAAAACGTGAAGAAAGTTTATCATAGGAAACAACTGAAGAAATATGGTAAGTACATGAGCACTTACTTTTCCGAAGAGCAATGAGAACATCAAGATCAAAACCTGTGTATCGGAAGGTGGTGGATCACTCGAAGCAAGAGGATCATCATTAGGCGGATCTACAGACAATGATGAAGATGGTGTTGGATTGGGATCTGATGTAGGTCGTTGCCGCCTATTATATTCATGAACTATCAGTGGTTTAGTAGGCCCTTGGGTCTGTGTCGAGTCGGATGGGGTAGTAGACTCAGGAACATGTATGGTATACACCAACAAATCATCACTATCTCTTGGGTTGCAAGGAGTGGACATAGGAAAGAAGGGTATATTCTCATGGAATGTAACGTCTTGTGATACAATGTATCGATTAAGCATGGGGCAAAAACACTTATACCCTTTTTGAAGTCAAGAGTAACCAAGAAAGACACATTTCAAAGTCTTTGGATCCAACTTAGTTATGTGAGGTCGGGTATCGCAGACAAAACAGAACTACCAAAGATCTTTGGGTCGACAGGAAACAATGATTTTGTAGGAAACATAACTGAGAAAGGACTTTTATCATCCAAGATAGCGGAAGGCACTCGGTTGATAAGAAAACAAGTGGTAGCAACCGCCTAGAAGACTTTAGGAACAGTCATGTGAAATAATAGACCCTGAGCCACCTATAGGAGATGACGATTATTCCGTTCTGCAACCCTATTTTGGGCTGGTGTGTCAACACAGGAAGACTCATGAAGAATGTCATTTTGAATTATATATGATTGAAATGTTTGGGACAAATATTTTTTTGCCTTATCACTATGAAGAGTTTGAATGGAGACTTTAAACTGAGTTTTAATCTCAGCATAGAGTGAACAAAAATGTGTGAATACGTTAGATCGATTTTCCATAAAGTAAAGCCAAGTAGTGCGAGAGTAATCATCAATTAATGTAACAAAATACTTAAACTCAAGTTTTGAAGTAACATGACATAGTCCCAAACATCATAATGGACTAACTCAAATGGGGATGATGCCCGCTTATTACAGACTATAGGACTTAAATGAATACGCTGATGTTTGGCAAACTGAAAAGACTCACACTGTAGTGAAGGTAAATAAGAAAACTCAGGACACAACTTCTTCATATTCTGTAAAGATGGATGACCTAATCGACAATGAACTTCAAGTGGAGACGATAAGATGGAACAAGTCAATAAGGAAGGTACTTGATGTTCAAATATGTATAGGCCATCAGTCTCCCACCCTCTACCAATAATCCTCTTCATCGACAGATCCTGAAAGACACAAAATTCAGGAAAGAATGAGACACAACAATTTAAAGCACAGGTAATTTTGCTGACTAATAACAAATTGAACGAGAAATTAGGTAGGCTCAATACAGAAGATAACGAAACAGATAGGGTAAGATCGATGGTGGCACAACCAATGACAGATGTGGTAGACTCGTTAGCAATTGTGACATCTGATGGGGATTTGTGTTTATTGAAATTAGAGAAGGTGGTGGGATTACCTGTCATGTGATTTGAAACACCTGAATCAACGACCCATTTGGAGGCAGAAGATAATAGGCATGTACTAGAGTTAGTTTCCTTAGCAAATGCAGCAGTCGAAGTAGTGGAATTCTCAGTCCCTAAAAATCGAGCATATTCTTCTGCGGGTATAGTAACAGTACTATCTGAGGCAGGGGCAACGTCCGCTGATGAACTTCTCGGATGTCTGGCCAAAAGCTTTTTACATGTGCGCTTGGTGTGACCTAAATCATGGCAGTAGTAACACTCAACATCATCAGAATCTGGAATAGTAGCCCGTGAGTCGGTTGTTTGGTCACTGTAGCCACCTCTAGAGCCACCATGAAATCCCCCTCGGCCAACCAGAGCATTGTTGTGATTAAAAGTTTGAGAAGCCTGAAGATTCTCATTCCTAAGAACACGGGTAAATGTTTCCTGAAGAGAAGGAATAACAGATTCATTCAAGAACGGAGATCTGATAGAGTCAAATTCTGGTCGCAAACCAGTCAAGAAACTGATAACAACCACTTGTTCCCTCTGAGTCTGCATGACTATGACATCAACACTAAATAGAAGAAAAGAGTTAAGCTCCTCATACACTTTCTTGAACTCCATCAACACTAGTGAGTGATCGGTCCTGTTGTTCCCCACGATGAAAGGACTTACAAACATTATAGATTCGAGAGATGTTACTTTGTCCAGAATACAAAAAATAAGATAATCCATAAGTTCCTTCACATATTCACAGTGACTAACCAAAGACGAAACAAAAGGCTCAATAGTATTGATAATTTACAAGTACAAACTAACATCACTTTGGAACCATGAATCAGAACCGTTACTTTTAGGAGGATCTGATGTGAGATGAGAAGCCATTCTTATGCTACGGAGATAGATACAATTAGTTTTGCTCCACTCAAAGTAGTTGGAGCCATTAAGCTTGTTGTCGGTAAGCTCAACCTTTACTGGAAGCATCTCGGGTACATGTAAACTACTGTTACTGTCAGATGTATTGTTCTCTCCAGTCATCTTTCAATAAATCACTAATCAGAAGAGAGAACATAGAACTTAGGACGAAGAATAGCAAACCAAAAAGCGAACGACACACTCACAGGGTGCCAAATAGCCGACGAACAGAGATGAAGATAATCGCACTCACAGGGTGCCAAAGAAACCGACGAGCAGAAAACTTGTCGATCAAGGAAAAAGAACGATGAACAAAAATTTCTATCCAAGGAAAAAATGTACCACAAAATTTCGATCGCAAAACTAGTGATTGTTACGAAACCAAGCTCTGATACCATGTAGAATTCTTTCTTTATTTCACTTGTCTCAAAAGAGGGAGGTACTAAGGCTATATATACACAAAGAATATGAGAAGAAAAGGAAAGGATTCCTAAGATATTCACAACAACAAATTACAAGGAGATATTACCTATAATCTCCAATTCCTATTTTACAATGATATCGAGTATCTTGAAGGGTATTGAGTATCTTAACATCAACCATTTGATCTAAAAAATAGATGGCCTAGATTCGAACGTAACTCCCCCTATAATCGTGGATTTAGTTTTGGCAAAAAGTAACTACTATTAAATACAAAGCGAAGTGGAAAAAGAGAGAAATTAGGTTCTAGACGCTGTTTATTTAATGATCCAATTCTCTTTGGAAGACGAAGAAGTATGATAAAGATGAGTCGTGGGAGCAAAGATGGAATCTATCCATGTGGTTGAGACCCCTCACAGCCCATGCACAATGACGCAATTATCAGGGGCATGCTCTACTCACTAAGCTAATAGCCTGTCGTCTGAGCCCCCCACTCGGGGCCAAATGCCAAAAGCGAGAGAAACCCCATCCCTAATTCTTCTTCTGATGATCGATTCAACATCTGGTAAAAAAGATATACACATGTTATATTTCATCTTCTCAACAAGTTTAGTAATGAGCATAACAACCGATGTATCATTTTTGGGTCTAATGGAATTCATAGGTACAAAAAGAAGCCCTATCATTTATTGGTGTTGCACTTTCTTTTTCTTGGCAGGAACAAATTATGATATAATACGTCTTCTTTATCTCGAGGAAATGGGCGGAGTAGCTATTCCCATGCCAAAAACATTCAAAATTGTTTGGATTAAAGTAGATGGATGGTTCGGAGGAGTTCCTATTCTCCTTTTTTAGTGTTGTTACCCATAATGGCAATAGATCGACTTTGTTTTGACAGACTATGAGAGTAGTTTGGACTAGTCAGTGCCTTATAAAGGGATTAAAATAGGTGAATATTACTTGGGGTGGAATATTATCACTCAGAACAAATCTTCTAAGTTACAGAAGGGTCTGGATTAACTTATAATCAACAAAAATACTAACGATAAAAGATCCATATGAATATATTGGATTAGAAGTCCTTGAAACCATAAAGCCTAATCTAACTTATAGGGAGAATATGCAAATTTCAAACATATTTGGACAGTCATATTAGACTTGAAAGTTACCGAGGCTTGAAGTGATTGATTATGGTTTTATCTTCTATTGTTTTTTGATAATTTGCATTCATTCTGGAATTTTACAATTCCTTGTGTCAATCTTTAAGCTTTTGTGCTTCTGAGCCTCATTAGCAACAGCTTCCTATTACATTGCTTGCAACATTGTCTACCGTTTTATGTAGCAAGAAATTGCAATAGGAAAGAAAAAGGGAGGTCTGTGAATTGCGATGATTTTGAAATCTTTTCTACTAGGTAATATGGTATCCTTATGCATGAAGATAATCAATTCGGTCGTTGTTGTTGGACTCTATTATGGATTTCTGGACATGTTCTCATATAGGACCCTTCTATATTTTCCTCCTCCGAGCTCACGTTATACCGTTTTTTTTTTTGACTAAATGAAATTATTGACTTATTCGATAAGTCATACCATGTTGTTTGTTTGTGAGGGAATAAAAAGAGGCACGACTTGCAAAGACTAAACACAATTAAAATACACAATGACACCACAAAGGAATTGGTAACTCATGGTGTTGATGTTTTTCCCATTATAACATGACTTATTCCATTCATGCCCATTTATTATCTCAATAGAAATCCTATTCTTTTCAACAGTCCTTGTTCTATGATGTGCAACATAGTAGAATATTTTATCTAATAATTCATAAATTGATACTTTTTTGTCGTTTAGAATATCCATTCAGAATATTCATTAAATAATCAATTTTCATTCAGCACCTATTCCAGACACAATTAAAATTGTCATTCAGATTCTTCATTCTAACACATGAAACACAAAACAATTGTTCATTTACCACTTAATCTATTTAGACAGCACATAACCATAATGATTTCCTTAAAGACCCGCCTCAGCGCAGCAACTACCAACCGTAGAATCATCAATATTCTGCTTAAAACAACATCATGGGGTTTATTCCATGATGCCAGGATCCCTTGTTATCCTTGCAATAAATATGCTGTAATTTTGCTAATATGCTACGAAAAAGTGAGGTCAATATTTATGACTGAAAACCAGGACATATGTAATACTGACGTTTGTAGCATGGAAAACATGTCATTGATCATGCATGGTAAAAAAAGCTGTTTCTTTTTCTCAAACGGCAAATTGGACACACACATACCCATGTTTGTTATCATGATGACAGACTATTTGAGAAGTCTAAGAGGAAGGTTGTGTACAAAAACTTCTCTCTGATTCTCGGTCAGCTGAGGAGCCTTGGTGCACTATGCTGCCATTTTTTTTTGCAATAATTTAGTAGTTCCTTTACAAAAGAATAACACAATTAATCACTACAGTACTTGAGATGAAACATAGATAAAGGGAGATTCAGCATGTTCTCTGTAAGTCAAGTTGAGTGTAGGTAAATGGTACAAGTCCTCTAAGGAGCATATTCAACTGTTACACCCTTTTAAGCTGAATCCAGATTGAAGATCATGTGTTGGATTAATTTAACTGGACCGACTTAACAAGGTAAATTGGTGCTTTTAGATGAGATGGTGAGTGTTGGAGAGCTGTGGATGCATGAATGCATCTATCACAAGTAATACTGCATTTATTAATAGTAATACTATGTTAGGAGAAAGTTCATTTAGGAACTGTAAATATTTTGAGAACCATGAGAACCAACTATTTTTATATATTATTCATGATGAATATACCTAAATATTTATGAATAGTATTCATGCATTTTCATTTCATGATATTCATCAATAATTCATGAATAGTTGGTTTTCATGGTTCTCAAATGAACCTTCCCCTATTATGTTAAGCGTTAAATAGCAACACAGATGCATCCATCAAAAATTAATAGTAATCCTAAGTTGAAGTTGGGCCACGTTTAACTTCGGATATTCATCATGAATAATTGGTTTTCATGGTTCTCAAATGAACCTGTCCTATTATGTTAATTGTTAAATAATAACGCAGATGCATCCATCAAGATTCAATAGTAATCCTAAGTTGAAGTTGGACCAACTATACCCTTACTTTTCATGATTGCCCGCTAATTTCCTCTCATCTTTCGATTTCCAACTTTATCTGAAGCTTACTACTTATCCTGCAGGTTTTCACTTCGTGGATGCACTTCTGTGCTGTTCGTTTGTTTGCAGAGAGCATTTTGAGATACGGGTTGCCCCCTTCCTTTTTGGTAATTGAATCAAACCATTCTATTAAGTATATGCTCATTGGAGGATTTTCAACTTTTTATACAACTATTAGTAGAGGGACAAAAGGGGAAGACATCCAATTCCCATTTGTTGTTTTCAGATTTAAATTATATGCATAAATATTTACTCTCATTTGATTTCAGTCCGTTGTATTGTCACCATCTGTGAAAAGTGAGAAGAAAGTACGTACAATACTTGAAGGCCTATGCGGCAGTTCTAACAGGTAATTTCTCGTGGTTCAATTATGCATTTTCATCATTTCAGTGAATGAAATTTAAAAAACCAAGGGGCCGTTTACCTGCAACTTGATGATGAGCTTAATAGTCTGGGCGGCTTATTCGCTTAGCCATACAGGAGTATTTCTTTACGGCTTAGTCGTTGAGCCATGAAGCCAAAATGGCTATACGGAATAAGCCAAGACCCTTCACTTGTCCCCATTAAACCACCTCAAACAAATTAATACCAAAAAAGCCTAAAAAATGATCCAGCCCTCTCTCTTTGCCTCCCTCAAACCCGTCGGTCTCCCGTCCCTCAAACAGACAAATTTATCAAACAAACAACTTGACCCATTAAGGGCTTAATGAAAAAAAATGAACAGCCCCTGCCCCATTTAAAAGACAGAATGAATATGAGAAATGATTCACAAAAAACAAGCTCTTGAGGTAATTAATCTAGCCTGCAGGGAGGATTCACAGTTGAATGGTACCTAAAAAGTATTTTAAGTAAAATGTTTGATTGTATGTCAAATATCTGAAGTACCCTTCTTTAACGACAAATAGATGTTCCTTTTGGACCCAAATGAATAGCAACGATAATGGGTAAATACGTAATTTACAAAATTGTAATCTTTCATGGGTATTAACTTATATTTATTAAAAAACTAGAATCTCCCAGTCAAAAGCGTCATAAATTCTAGGCCAGTTTCTTCCATTCTGTAAAGGAAATTGAGTATTTTCTTTAAGGACAAAAATGTTTGATTCTGCATTGTGGTACATACTCTCTCGATTGAAATGGTTAGGTGCAGGGCCGTACTATGAATAAAAGGACCACACTATGAAATTGGTTTTATTCTGAGTCTTAATTAATGGTGTTTCGGTTATTATGAATGCAGCACGTTCTGGAAAACCGAGGACGAGGGAAACATGGGCGGCCTGGGTGGTGAAGCCGACACTCACCCTTACGTCTCCTTCACCATTAATCTTATATGAAACTAGCGATGCTGTGGTATCTGATGTCGATTCTTATCTTTTTGATTACAACGCAATAATGGTGGTGATGATGCTTAAAAATCGGTGTATTATAGGGTAAATTTACCCAATTTTAGCTGGAGTTTTCGGTGTATTAAATTATGTTCCATTCCGAAACTTGTTCTTTTGTTTGATTCGTTGTACTACGACCTGAAAGCTGTATTCATCTATTCAGGAAAACACCCCTTGAGTAACGATGTAAAATGTATGTGGATCTTTCCTTTTATTCGAAAGGTGGAGACGTTTTCGTATTTTTTGATTTAAAATTTTATGATGATATACAGAATTGTAGATGTACTTGCAAAACCTACATCAGATTAGACATATAAATTCCATAAAGCGTGGGTGATTCATAATTTTGAAACATTAGTTTAGCCTTGAATCATGAGTCTGTATGGTTATTTTACAAGCCAACTAATATATAAAAAAGATCGATTGGAAAAATAATGCACACATGTTGAGTTTCTAAACTCATATAAAGTTGAAGGGTTGCGGTGAGGTACATGTAGGATCTGAAACACTTTATGATATTGTTGCTTCAAATTTCAGTTTACTTCAAGAGAAAGAAGAACTTTGAATTTAAATTTGGGTTCAAAATAGAAAACAAACAAAGTGTCAAACAACTTTGGGAATACAAAACATATATTTTTCATGTAAATATAACTTACTTAAATCTGAAATATTGACCAAACAAATGATATGTTTTAAGTATTTGTAGATCATGCATAATAATTTGTACTTAAAGAGATTTTTTGGATCTCTTGCATAAATTGATAGTACTTTATGCTTTAAGGCGTGTAATTAAGACTTTTGGTATAAATGCTTATTAATGTAGTATATATATATATATATATATATATATAGGGTATATTTCTTTTACAACCTTGTGTATTTGTAAAAACCACTCAATTTGTAAAAACCGTGAAAACCTCATTCAACCAATCATAATTTTTCATTTTGTTTATTTTTTTGTAATTATGAGAGGTTGATTAACAATTTTTATTGTGAAGGGTGTTAATCATGGATATTATYATCTTCATTATTTTAATTTTAGAGAAATACATGAAACAGTTTCATTAAAATTTCATTAA